TATATATATATACATATATATATATATGTATATATATATATATATATTTATATATATATATATATATATATATAATATATATATATATATATATATATACATATATATATATGTATATATATATATATATATATATATATATATATATATACATATATATATATATATATATATATATATATATATATATATATATATATATATATATATATATATATATATATATATACAGCCCTCAAAATTAGGAAGACCTAAAACTGTTTTAGGTGGCAATGGTTTTAAAATGTTTAAAGAACTTTAATAAAAAGTTTTGTCATTCTTAGTTATTAATAAAAATGTTTGTTTTGCTGTTTTTCAAACTAATTTTTTCACAATTTAAATAAAAGTTTAATTTTGCTGTTATTAAAATAATAATTCCTTGAAAATTTAAGTCTCTATATCCAAGCAGATTCTGAAACTTGGCTTTATTAGCAGCCCCTCTATTCCCTTCAGAATTGCAACATTTATTTAGAAGCCACATAACTTTAAAATCATTTGATTAAGTCACATAACCTTAAAAATATTAGATCTTTTTACTTAAATATGAGTACCCTGTTATTTCCTGAAATAAAGAGTACAATGACATTACCAGAAACATAATAAATTAATATCAATAAACTTTAACAATTAATTTAAATATTTTCAAGTAATTTTTTATTTAAAAAAAAACGTACACGTTCTATATTCAATGATCTTTGATAAATCATAAAGATTTTCAAGGGCACATGGGTTTCTCAAGCATCTAAAGTGAGTATAGAAAAAACTACATAAATTTTTTTATAATGATAATTAGGGGTATTTAATGTTAAACTATTACATTTCCGATGATTTCACTCAACCCCCAAAAAAGCTACGTACAAATTTAAAGTAAAAAAATCATATTTTTCAAAAGTTATGTGACTCTAAATAAAAGTCACAATTCTAAAACACAAGGCAAAGGGGCCTAACCCATATCTGAAAAAAGTAAACGAGCCTGATCTGCATGCAACCAGAGATCAAAACTTTAAACTTTTTATATTCTATAAAGTCTTTTGTATAAAAATCAGCAAGATTAGTGATGATATGATATTTATTGATGATATTTTTCTTTAATTTTCTGACATGGATATAAATCATCACACTCAATTATCATTTTTATACAAAACAAATATTATTTATGAACTTGAATTTATATTTGCTTCTTTTGAAACTCACAATATTATAAACCTGTTATATTATTGGGGGCTGTAAGGGACCATAGAAAAATCATAAAAACTTTGTAAAAAAATTTACTGAACTATAATAAGATAGAAAAATAGGAAAAAGTTCAAACCAGCTATGTTGTTAAAGAATATTTTTTGGAAACCCCTAATACACATGCAAATATACTTTATATTTCAGTATAAAAACAAAATTTCCATACAACATATAGCAGAACTAGCAAATGAAAAAGATATGTCAAACACATTTTCATCATTTTCAACTTGCATAACCCTGAAAATAAAAAAAAATTTATTTAAAAAAATATGAAAAAAACATTTATTTAAAAAATCCTTAAAACATAAAGTTATATATATATATATATATATATATATATATATATATATATATATATATATATATATATATATATATATATATATATATATATATAATATATATATATATATATGTATATATATATATACATATATATATATATATATATATATATATATATATATATATATATATATATATATATATATATATATCAGGCCTTGTTTTAAAAAAAAAGTGCTTAATGCATTAGCTTAACGCGATATTTGACGTCATAAAATTATCTTTATTTTTTTTTTAATAGACGTTAAGTGTTTTAACTATCGCAATAAATAAATAACCGCTAACTAGTTCATTTTACAATTAACTCAAACAACTATAAATGTTTTAAATGTAAATTTATAATAAAAAGTTTGTAATGTTTTCAATTGTTATCTTATTATTAATTTTAGTTCAATATTATTTAGTAAAAATATATATATATATATATATTTTAATTATTTCTGAAATTTGTTTTTGAATAATTATTGTTTATAAATCGTTATTGAATAAAAAATATGATTTTTTTTTATTTTTGAAAATTTCTGGAGTAAACAAAAAATATTAACAGTGATAAACAAAAACCTATGTTAATTATTTAAACAGCGATTTTGTTTTGACTAGCAAAGAATAATTTAGGAAAGAATATTTTTTAAAACTTATCTTGCTTAGCGTTTCAACTTGCGTTATATAAAAATATAAAAACGTTTTGTCTGCTATTAGCATATTTTTGATACATAGAGAATGCGTTCACCAGGAATTTAATTCATAAATTTTTTATGTTATTGTAAAAATGTTTTACATTTTAAACAAATCACAAAGAAACAGAGCTATAGGGAAATATCCTTTTTAACGATTAAATCTTTTTTTTTTAATTTTAGGAAATTAAAAAAAAATTAAATTAAATATAAAAGTCTTAATTATGCAAACTCTTTTGTTAATTATTCTTAAAACAAAAAACAAATACTTCTCCGCAAAACTTTAATCGTGCAAACTTAAAAAAATACTTAACTAAAATAATATAAGTATATTTAATAATTTGAATCGCATCTGTTTATAATAAATATTCGTAAAAATTTGTAAATACTCAAAAGTATTTTCATTCTACGTATAATTACAAAAAAAAAAAAAGCTCTTTTTTTTCTTCGTTTGTAAGCTATTTAACTTAATAAAACAAAAAAAGAATAAATATGAGGTAATCTTTGTTAAGAACAAATTTAATTTATTTATTCAACTATATTTTTATTTTGATTTATATATCAACTTAAATTAAATATAGTAACATGTTAAAATATTTTAACATGACTTGTGTTATTTATAAACCGTAGGGCAGCTAGGTAAGCTGCCCTTACAGCACAATTGTTTTAGGATTAAATTTTATTTTGATGAAGATCACATAACTTACATTTGATTTTAATAACGTAAGTCTTCTCTTTTTCTGTGATCATCGCATCGGCAAAGCATCGGCAAAGTCCCAAGATTTAAAAGTTTTTAAAGGAAATCTTTTGTCCTTCAAATACAATCCATATTCGAACTTTAAACAATTAGAGAGAATAGAAATATAAAAGGTTTTTATATACTATTTTGTCTTGTTTTATAAAGAAAAAGACATATTCATTAATAAAAAATAGAGACTGTCATTAAACTAAAACGTGCCTTAGTATTTATTTAATGGAATCTGTAATGTGCGCGTGCATAATGAAACCTCCATTATATAAATATATTCAACGTAATATTAGTGTCATCAGCGGATGTTATAGTCTACTCGTGATTTCTTTACCTTATAATATAACTTGATCTATGAAAAAAATTTATTGAATCGCACGCAGAAGAAGTTTAACAAATTGTCTTCATTCAAAATTTGCGAGTAACAGGTAACTTTTTTTTTCTGTGCTGGCCCCCTTCCCCCGCATAACTTAAAAGCAAAGGTATCTATATACCTTTAACTAATAAGAAAAGCAAAGAGTAATAATTGATGAAGTAATTTTTAGAAAAATACAAATAGATTGTTCATTCATTGGCACATTTTTTTTAATATCTTGAAAAATTGTCTTGATATTTTTGTTATCATGATAACAAAAATATTAAGACGTTTTTTGATATATTAAAAAACTGTCAACCCTTAATTACAAATTTTTTGCAAATGTTTTTTAATATGAATTTAGTAAAAAACTCTTCAAAAATTTATATTACAAAAAACATTTATATTCTGTATTAATAAGTTTGGAATATAGATTTTTTAAAAGTTTTTTACTGAAAACTTTAAAAAGTTACTACTTTTTATTAAAAACATTTTGCAAAAAATTTGTAGTTAAAGATTAGCGAACAATTTTTCATGTTACTAAATATTTGAATAAAAAGTTAAGCGTAAAATTAAATGTTATAAAAACCTATGATATGTCGCGATAAAAGGTTACTTCAATTATTTTTAACGTAATTTTTTTTTTCTAATAAGTATTTTTACATATCGTTATTCAAAAGTTAATGTGGTTTTTTTTTTAAATAATTACGTAAAACTGGCCAGGTTTTTTAGTCGTTTTGAGAACATTTAAGTTTATGTACGAAACAAAGAATTTTTGTTTTACAGACATACATGGAAACATAAAAAACTTGAATGTTCTCAAAACATCTTTGTGCGAAAGAATAAAAAGAATATTTGCAAACACTAAAAACCCGCCAAATTAACAAACAAACTAATTCTATTGGTTCAAAAAAAACGCTGATTAAGCGAAATAAAGTTCTAGTGCATTCTGTTAAAATGTTTTAGAAATTGTATTATTCACGATTTGTTACGTTTTGAGATTTCTAGCATTGTTTTAAGAATACATATTCAGGCCTTGTTTTAAATAAAAAAGTGCTTAATGCATTAGCTTAACGCAATTTTGACGTCATAAAATTATCTTTATTTTTTTTTATAGACGTTAAGTGTTTTAACTACCGCAATAAATAAATAACCGCAAACTAGTTCAATTTAACAATTAACTCAAATATACACTATAAACGTTTTAAATATAAATTTATTATGAATTTTGTAATGTTTTCAATTGTTATTATATTATTAATTTTAGTTCAATATTATTTAGTAAAATATATATATATATATATATATATATATATATATATATATATATATATATATATATATATATATATATATATATATATATATATATATATATATTAATTCTGAAATTTGTTTTTGAATAATTGTTTTTAATCGTTATTGAATAAAAAATAATGATTTTTTTTATTTTTAAAAATTTCTAGAGTAAACAAAAAATATTAACATTGATAAACACAAACCTATGTTAATTATTTAAACAACAATTTTGTTTTGACTAGCAAAGAAAAATTTAAGTTTTTAAATATTTTTTAAATTTTTAAAAGCGTTTCAACTTGCGTTTTATAAAAATATAAAAAAGTTTTGTCTGCTTTGAGCATATTTTTGATACGTAGTTTAGAACGCGTTCGCTAGGAATTTAATTCATAAATTTTTTATGTTATTGTAAAAATATTTAACTTTTTAAACAAATCACAAAAAAACAGAGCTATAGAGAAAAATCGTTTTCAACGATTAAATCTTTTTTTTTTTAATTTTAGGAAATAAAATAAAAAAATTAAATTAAATATAAAAGACTTAATTATGCAAACTCTTTTGTTAATTATTCTTAAAACAAAAAAACAAATACTATTACGCCAAACTTTAATCGTGCAAACTTAAAAAAATACTCAACTAAAATAATTTAAGTATATTTAATAATTTGAATCGTATCTGTTTATAATAAACTTTCGTAAAAAATTTTGTTTATCAAAAATTAAGCTCCTTAACTTATAAACAAACTCAAAAATATTTTCATTCTACGTATAATTACAAAACTCTTTTTTTTTTTTCGTTTGTAAGCAATTTATCTTAATAAAATAAAAAAAAAGAATAAATATGAGGTAATCTTTGTTAAGAATAAATTTAATTTATTTATTGAACTATATTTTTATTTTTAATTATATATCAACTTAATTAAAATATAGTAACATGTTAAAATATTTTAACATGACTTGTATTATTTATACACCGTTTGGCAGTTGCCCTTACTGCACTATTGTTTTTGGATATTATTTTATTTTGATGAAGATCACATAACTTACATTTGATTTTAATAACGTAAGTCTTCTCTTTTTCTGTGATAATCGCATTGGCAAAGCATCGGCAAAGTCCCAAGATTTAAAAGTTTTTAAAGTAAATCTTTTGTCCTTCAAAATACAATTCCATATTCGAACTTTAAACAATTTAGAGATAATAGAAATATACAAGGTTTTTATATACTAGTTTGTTTTGTTTTATAAAGAAAAATACATATTCATTAGTAAAAAATGGAGACTGTCATTAAACTAAAACGTGCCTTAGTATTTATTTAACGGAACCTGTAATGTGCGCGTGCATAATAAAACCTCCGTTATATAAATATATTCAACGTAATATTAGTGTCATCAGCGGATGTTGTAGTCTACTCATGATTTCTTTACCTTATATTATAACTTGATTTATGACAAAAAAAACTTATTGAATCGCACGCAGAAGAATTTTAACAAATTGTCTTCATTCAAATATTGCGAATAACAGGTAATTTTTTTTTCTGTGCCGATCCCCTCCCCCCGCATAACTTAAACTATATACTAATAAACTAATAAGAAAAGCTATATACTATTAAACTAACTATAAGCTATATACTATTAAACTAATAAGAAAAGCAAAGACATTTTTTTTAACATCTCAAAAAATGTCTTGATATTTTTGTTATCATGATAACAAAAATATTAAGACATTTTTTGAGATTTTATTTAAAAAAATGTCAATTCTTAATTACAAATTTTTTTGCAAATGTTTTTTATTATAAATTCAGAAAAAATCTATATTACTATACTATACTATACTATAGTACTACTACTATAAACTTTTATATTCTGTATTAATAAATATGGAATATAGATTTTTTAAAAGTTTTTTACTAAAAACTTTAAAAAATTACTACTTTTTATTAAAAACATTGCAAAAAATTTGTAGTTAAGGATTGACAAAAAATTTTTCATGATGCTAAATATTTGAATAAAAAGTTTAGCGTCAAATTAATTGCTATAAAAACGAAAGATATATCGCGATGAAAAGTTACAACAATTATTTTTAAAGTAAATTCTTTTTTTTAATAAATATCTTTACATATCGTTATTTAAAAGTTAATGTGGTTTTTTTGAAAATTAATTACTTCTTTTATGTTACCGCTAATTTAAAAGTTAAAAAATGATAAAAAGTAGCTTAACCAAAACAGCTCTACGCGTACGTAAAAAGCGCTTAAGGCGTACGTAAATCGCTCTAGGCGTAACGCTTTAAAACAAGGCCTGCATATTATTTGTTTACGAAAATAAATGTTTTAAATATATATTAATTAAATTGTCATCATTTTAAAAGTTTATAATAAATCATAGATTTTATTTGTATATTCTTATTTTTTATTTTAAAAGAGATTGTATTCTTTATGTAAATGTAATTTTGTGTATCTGTTTTTTATCGTAATGTCTTTTGATCTTTTGAAGCAATTTTTATAATTTAAACAAAGACTTACAAAAATAATTGCGTTTTCAAAGTTATAATCATTAAAGTTAATAAAACTAATTATGTAACAAACATATAAGAAGTTTCTGGTTACTAAGCACAAACAACGCATACAAAGTAACTCGCGGATGAACAAGCATCGCGCCAGAGGTCACGGCAGAACACAAATATATAATAGCAAATAATTAGATATAAAGAAAAGTTTCTAGATATTGGTTTACTAACTCTAATTATTTTCGCTTAAGTTGCTATTCTTAAAACTCGTTATACTTTTTTCTGCTTTAAATACTAATTAAAATTAAAAAGCCCACTCACTAAACATCATCAGCGATATTGTGAAGCAGTTTCGCTTCCTGGTCATTAAGTATTTTTAACCTTTTTAGTTGATTTCTATCTTGATAATTTAATTCCTATAGTAATTCAATGATTTAATTATTTCATTTGTTTATCTTACTAAGAAGAACCGCTTCAAATATGTTAAACTTTTCTAACTACGCGAAACATAAATAAGGTATTAAAAAAATTAACTTTTTTATTTATAAAATAATTTAGCTTAAGTATAAAAAAGCGATGTTTCGAAAATACTTGTTTTAAATGTAATTTATTTAGCTTAAAGTTTTTTCGCGTTAAAAGATTTTATTTGCCTACTTTTTTTTTTTTTGTAATTGTCTCTCATCGGTCCAATTATTCTTTGTCGCTTTTTTTTTTTTGCTTTTTAAAATGTTCTCAAAACAACTAAAAAATCTGGCCAGCTTTTCGCAACTAAATATTATTTACGTGGTCAGCAATCGAGAGCGATCGCTCCCGCTTCCCGACCAAGCCTGATATATATATATATATATATATATATATATATATATATATATATATATATATATATATATATATATATATATATATATATATATATATATATATATATATATATATATATATATATATATATGTATATATATATATATAATATATATATATATATATATATATATACATATATATATATATATATATATATATATATATATATATATATATATATATATATATATATATATATATATATATATATATATATACATATATATATATATATATAACCCTCGAAATATATATACAAACCAATTAAAAATTAGGGACCTTTTTACGTTTTTAAGGCAAATATTTTTTTTTTGCAATTGATTTTCTGCTTAAGTCCGCATAAACAAAGGAGTACTGCCGCCCAAATTTTTTTCCTAGAATAGGTCGTGTGTGTGTATATATATGTATATATATATATATATATATATATATATATATATATATATATATATATATATATATATATATATATATATATGTTTTATAAGCATTTCTATGTTTTTTTTTGAAAAGTTGAAAAAATATGTTTTTTTGATACTGGGTTTATTAAATTTGAAATAAGCAACTAAATGCATGCTGCTATATCTATTTATACTTTATTACTTTTTAACATAAGTTTATAAAATTATTCTTTCAAAAAAGTAAAAACATTAATTTTAACATTGTTTTACAAGCCTGTTAAAAAATATTCGTCAATTTTGAAATCAAAAACTTTCTATTTTTTACTTGCCAGAAATGCATTTTAGTAATATTTTTAAAGGCTATTGCTTCGTCAATTTGGTCAGCTATAATGGCCCACTTTAGATTAATGTCATCTGTGTTGATTAGCCTTACATAAGTTTTGCAACCATTTGATATATATATATATATATATATATATATATATATATATATATATATATATATATATAATATATATATATATATGTATATATATATATATATATATATATATATATATATATATATATATATATATATACATATATATATATATATATATATATATATATATATATATATATATATATATATATATATATATATATATATATATATATATATATATATATATATATATATATATATATAACCCTCGAAATATATATACAAACCAATTAAAAATTAGGGACCTTTTTACGTTTTTAAGGCAAATATTTTTTTTTTGCAATTGATTTTCTGCTTAAGTCCGCATAAACAAAGGAGTACTGCCGCCCAAATTTTTTTCCTAGAATAGGTCGTGTGTGTGTATATATATGTATATATATATATATATATATATATATATATATATATATATATATATATATATATATATATATATATATATATATATATATATATATATGTTTTATAAGCATTTCTATGTTTTTTTTTGAAAAGTTGAAAAAATATGTTTTTTTGATACTGGGTTTATTAAATTTGAAATAAGCAACTAAATGCATGCTGCTATATCTATTTATACTTTATTACTTTTTAACATAAGTTTATAAAATTATTCTTTCAAAAAAGTAAAAACATTAATTTTAACATTGTTTTACAAGCCTGTTAAAAAATATTCGTCAATTTTGAAATCAAAAACTTTCTATTTTTTACTTGCCAGAAATGCATTTTAGTAATATTTTTAAAGGCTATTGCTTCGTCAATTTGGTCAGCTATAATGGCCCACTTTAGATTAATGTCATCTGTGTTGATTAGCCTTACATAAGTTTTGCAACCATTTGATGCTAAGAGGAAATCTTTTGTGTTTAAGACAATAACTTCGCGAGATTTTACGCTGTTCCAAACAAATCGCTTTAACGATCCTCCAACACCGTCAACTGCTCCTTTACCGTCAGAGGTAGCAAAATAATTCCACTCTATTGAATAGAAATGATATTTCACAGAGCAATGTTGTATGAATTTGGCCATGTGACGATTTTTGAACTGAGTGCAAGAACCATCGCTCCATTATATAACTTTTTTTTATATAATCAATGCAATAGAGGTCAAATATTTCACTTAAGTATGTAGTAGTGGCGCGCTATGTTTTATCATTATTATCAGATATTATTACAACTGATTTTGGTTCTAATTGGTAATGATAGATAACAACTGTAAACAGAGTAATAGTAGACTGGGACCAATAAGCAGCTTAAACAGCATCCTGATAGCCACATGTATAGTTTTGTAAATAATCAAAGTGTATCAAAATTTAGTCTGGTTAGAGATTTTCTTTTTGACTACGGTATTGCTCAGACTGGTGCTTTTTAGTTCGATGATGCTCATTAAAATCTGGTAATGTTTATAAACAACTTTTATGTTTTTTTTATGTTCACTGAGTACACAACGATTATCATCTTTTATCCACCAACTATGGGTGATGATTGGATCTATGTCTTCATTTTCGGGCAAAGCAAGTTTAAATAATTTACAATCACTACACAAAGAACATTTCATTATCCAACTTTGGGATGTAGGTGGCTTGCACAATACATATTTTTCTAACCATTTATTGCAATACAATGGAAAATGTACTTTACTTGCCAAAGCAGCACACAAATAAGTAAAATTATTGTGATAAACACAACCACAAGATTCAAGTGGTGTGTCTTTGCATGTAAGAATGTATCTAGGCCTAAGTTCACAAAATTTAGTTAATTTAACATTTTTGAGGGCATTCTCTACACAATACAATTGATGCAGCTCCTTTAGATTCATAACTAAATAGCACCTTTGAACCCATTCTTGGCCAATTTTGATACAATCTTTTCTTCCAGGAGACATTATTGATATATCTTCTCTTTCATAAAAAGCTGTTTCAATGAGACAAAGTTTTTCCCTGAGTATTCCCTGAGTAAAAAACGTTCTCCCCTGAGTATTCCCTGAGTAAATAATGCTCTTAGCATTTAGTGCCACAGGGTCTGTGTGTTTTGTGGTGTTATTGTTGTGATGTTTTGTGTTGATAGACAACCTGGTTTACCTTCTGGCAGGTATCTATTGTTAAAAATGATTATTAGGTTGTTTCCTTACTGAAACTTGCTACTTCTAATCATTCTGACTGTTAAATAGGTCGTTGTGAATAATTCTGACAGATTTTGATACCCTTACTAGTTATTTAGAGATCAGTCGGTAAATTAAGCAAAAATTTAAAAATGTATTATTTGGATTCCATGATTAGTTTATGCATATTTACATGATGAAATTATAATATAACCTCAAATTTTATTTTCCATTTAAAAAAAAATAGATCACTATGGAAAATTTCAAATTAATAATGTTTCAAAAATATCACATACATTTTAATCAATATGCCAATAGGTTTGTGCAGCCCTTTTGCAGTAATTTACTGATCTATAAATTATAAAATAATTTCAAAATGATGTATTATTTGGATTCCACAATTCCTTTATGCATATTTTTATGGTATAATTATAATATAACCTCAAATTTTATTTTCTAAAACTAAATAAATAATAATTCTCAGTCTGTAAAATAAATTATTCTAACCAATCCCCATATATATATATATAAAAAATTGAGGTATTTTATTTTTATATAGTTGTTAGATCACTATGGAAAATTTCAAGTTAAATGTAATAATGGTTCAAAAGTTATTCAAGAGCCAATGTGACACTAAACTTTATTAAAGAAGAGACTTTATTTATAAAAACAGTCTAAATAATAACCAATGCACAAAAACAATTATTACTTATAATTTATTACTTATTATTATTATATATTTTTTTATTAATAATTAGAAACAGCAAAATAAGCTTTAATTTTGTTATATATTTTTTTATGTAATATAATATTGACATAGAAAATATATGTTATACTCAGCATATTGTTTATTGTTTTTATCTAATAAATATATATATATGAGATCGTAAGAGTTTAGTTAGTTGGGTCCAATACTTAGCTTACTATCAAAAGTTTTATGTAGGTCATATTAAACAAAAGAACATAGTAGTTTATTGGTTCCAATATGGATTAACTATCTACAGATCCATATAGGTGCCCCCCAAAAAAGAAATTCATTGGGTCCAATATGGGATAATCATGAAAAGTTTTATTTAGGTCAACGGTAATAAAAGTAAATAGGATTTTATTGGATTTTAATATATATATATATATATATATATATATATATATATATATATATATATATATATATATATATATATATATATATATATATATATATATATATATATAATAATAAAATTTTATAAAACAAAATTATAAATATAAAATATATATATATGTATTATATATATTTTTTATATTTATAATTTTATTTTATAATTATAATTTAAATTACAAACAATTACCTATCCATTGAAATTTGAACACTATCATTTTGTACTCCCAAAATGAGCTTTTTTAACTGATTTATTTGGTGAAATATATTTAAAGCCATTAAGCTAGTATTTAAAAAAAATTACTATAAAAACAAAACACGTGTTATTTTTAATTCCTGAACGAAACTGTAACGGTATGTTGTGAAACACCGTTTGGGTTCTTTCTGGTTATGTAATGTAGTATTTTGACTTGTTAACAAAATGCAGACTCAAGAAGTTATTATTCTTTAATACTAATAAAAAATATTAAAAATAACTTTATCGATCTGTGTTTTATCAAGTATTCAAAATCTTATTTTGAATTGTTCAAAAGAACGTTAATACCCGATATCAATAGTAATTTTGACCGGAAACCAATAAGTCTGAACAGACGGGTTGACCGATTTTAGTGCAGATTTTATAACCGCAAGCGTTTAAAAGCAAGTTTAAAAGTATATTTTATACTTCCAAATGTTATCAGTGTTCCAAATGTTATCAAAAACTGACTCTTCAAACTTTCTCATTAGTTTGAAAACTTTGACATATCGATCCAGCGGAAAACACTCTTGTAAATCTGCTCAATAAATTTATAAAGAGCAAGAAGACCTTTGCAACAATCAGTACTCAGTTCTGGGGCAATTTTATTTGTTTTAAGAACCCGTCTTGCATTATAAAAGGCAAAATTTAAAAAAAAAAAAAAAAAAAGGATTATATCAAATTGGTTTTGGAAGAACATAGCGTAAATAGTAATAACAGTATCAACCGTGTAAATACAAAGGTATCAATTCCAATATATGCAACGTGTTTGGAGCAAAACAAACTTTTGTATCAGCCTCTTCTTGAGTTGTTTGTATTGACATTATTTTTCTAACATTTTTAATTAAAAATAACTCATACCGAGTACCTAATTAGTGTATCTGGTGTTTATTAAAGGTAGTAACTATACATAGGACATGTTTAGAATGATGTAAAACAAAAGAATATTTTAATGGTGAACCTGACCGTCGACATTACGTGCAAATTTACAAATTTGTGACTGTAGTTTTACAAGGAGAATATGTCCGGTGAGCTGTGATGTAAATCATTATGTGACTATTCGTTTAAGTCTTGCAAATTTTTTAAACAGAAAGTTGCTCGTTTGCTTCTTTAAGCACGTTCAATGATTTTGATGATTCGGGTTGGTGTTGGCTTGTCACAAAAAATAATAGTTGAACTCCTAAAACATAGATTTAAAATAAATTCGAACTTTAAATCTTTGAGTATAATGTTGGCAAGCTGTTGCAGAATCGTCATACAATCGTCAAAAACATGATCAGCATAAATAAACCATAGATAAAATCTATGGTTGTTCAACCATAAACCTAGTTAGCAATAGTGCATGGTCATATATCGGACCCGTGCGCGCTGATTTATAGGCCCTATGTAGGAAGCCTATCTGAGAACCATAAAAGTTTGTCCGCGGTTTATCAATTGGACCTATGTGGGCTAGCCTAAATAGTTAGCCCATGTTGGACCCAACAAGCTCCTATGCTTTTATTTTATTTTTCTTTAAAAGATTTTTGATGGTTCACCCATATTAAACGCAACAAACTCCTATTTTTTTATTTTCTTTCACTTATATAGAACATTATATGGTTAGCGCATATTGGACCCAATAAAATCCTATTTACTTTTATTACCGTTGACCTAAATAAAACTTTTCATGATTATCCCATATTGGACCCAATGAATTTCTTTTTTGGGGGGCACCTATATGGATCTGTAGATAGTTAATCCATATTGGAACCAATAAACTACTATGTTCTTTTGTTTAATATGACCTACATAAAACTTTTGATAGTAAGCTAAGTATTGGACCCAACTAACTAAACTCTTACGATCTCATATATATATATTTATTAGATAAAAACAATAAACAATATGCTGAGTATAACATATATTTTCTATAATGTCAATATTATATTACATAAAAAAATATATAACAAAATTAAAGCTTATTTTGCTGTTTCTTGCTTTGCCACGCTTAGCTCTATTGCCATCACAATCACAAGCTCAAATAAACCATTTTGCAAGAGACGATTCAAAATCTTTCATCGTACATGCTAACGTCCGGTTGTTGAGCTTTAAGGCTTCTGTAAAAAATATTACACTTCCAATAGGTAATGAATCTTAAATACACAATCTTATTATCATCTTTAGAAATCTGAACTATAAGGGTTCTTACTAAACACAACAATAGAGTGCACAATTTTTAATAATGGCCAAACAAAATTTACACAATATGTTCGGTAGTTGGTAAAATGCAAACTGCAAACCGCGAACTGCGAACCGGTAAAATGCGAACTTTTTTGCGAATCATAGTTCTATTGGTTGTTAATGATGTAATATTTTTTTTATTTTCCGCTTACCGTTAAATTGTTTATTTTACTATATATTTAAGGACTTCAAGCAGAAACATAAATTACATTTAATTTAAAAGAAATACAGTCTAATTCAATAAAATATATCAAATTTCACTATAATTAATTTAAAAAAATGACGAGCAAAAGTTTTTTTTAAATATTATAACCGTAGTGATCATTAAAATATCTTGGTTTGCAAAAAAGTTTGCATTTTACCGGTTCACAGTTCGTGGTTCGCAGTTTGCATTTTACTGACTACCAATGTGTTCATTTGTATTTAATAGCTGGCAAAATTGCAGAGAAATATAACCAAAATTTATTTAAAACTATGGGTACTCACTATAAATCACTTAAAAAATCAGTTCCTTTAACACGTTTTTGATTGCCCTCGCAGGCAATTAACTTGCAGAGCTAAGTTATTGTTTAGCAACCGCTGCGTCATACAGCAGACAGCTTTATCAACTTTTGTCCTTCCGATACCGGGAAGAAAGTTAACCTGCAACACATTTAATCTAACATGCTAAAAAAAGTTGTAGTAGCAAATCTTAAACTTTATGGAAATCAAGAATAATCATGGTATTTTAAATATTTGAAAATCTATTTCGATAAAAACTGGTCTTTTCAAAACTATTTTTAATAATAAAATAATAAAGTATTTGAACAAAAATTTGTTCAAATACTTTAAAAAAAAAGGTTTTTTAAACAAAATAAGATTTGAAAATTTATTATATAATAGCTAAAACGCATACAGGAAACTTACTTCATTTATAGAACCTAAAATAGGCCATAGATGCACATTTGAGCTACGAAAAACTGGTAGACCATCAATATTGCTATTTAATTCGAGATTTACACAAACAGATTAGATTTACAGAAGGCACCTGTTTTGTTAGGAGGAGTAGTCTAATGGCATTTTTAACTCCAACATGTTGATACACACCACCAGCAACTACGTTTTGTGAAACAATAGACGGTGTTTTTAATAAAGTTCTAGCATCTTTCGGACCATGAACGCCCACATTTTGAAATATATTTAAGAAAGCCGTGATTTCCGTGATTTTCTTGATTTCGTGATTTTCTAGTTTCCGTGATTTTCTTTCTTTTCTTGACTCCGTAATTTTCTTCGTGGTTTTCTTGATTCCGTGATTTTCTTCTTTTCTTGATTCCTTGATTTTTTTCTTTTCTTGATTCCGTGATTTTCTTCTTTTCTTGACTCCGTGATTTTCTTCTTTTCTTGATTCCGTGATTTTCTTCGTGATGGCCCTTAGGTAGAAATCTTTCTTCGTCTTCTTGTTGACAAATGTGCTTCTTACATAACTTTGTGGATTCAGGTTGACATGGAATCCTTTATTCCCTCTCGACGATTCCAGGTCAAGCCTCACTCTTCTCCATAGTTTTCCTGACATTTTGCAGCTGCAATTGCCAATCGAAACCATTACTTCCATATCTATCAGCAAAACAATTCTCCAGAGAACAGACTTCTGTTTGTTACTGCTAGGGATAATTGCAAAAAAGTTTTGTCTACTACCAAATCCCGCTATTCTCAGGTCATGAAATCTAGTATTTCATCACAAAAGCTAGACTCTCATGACTTCTGGAGAATCTTTAATAGTATCAATAATAAGGGCAAGTCTGTAGTTCCACCTCTTTTGTATGGTTCAGACTTTGTCACCTCACCGAAAAGCTAAGCTGAATTATTTGCTAAGAACTTTTCATCAATATCATCTCTTGATTCCATTAGTTACGTTCTACCTGATATAGCCATCAAACAGGTTGATCGATTGCTTGACATTTGTATCATTCCAACTTCTGCATCTAAAGACTCTTCTACAGCTTGTGGCCTGGACAACATACCTGCTATAGTCTTGCAGAAGTGTTCTCCGGAGCTGTCGTCTATCCTTTCAAATCTATTTAACAAGTGCTTATCAGAGTCTTGTTTTCCAACCTGCTGGAAATCAGAACCTGTTATACCTATTTTTAAAAATTCTGTAGAGCGATCTGATTTGTCTAACTACCGTCCGATTAGTCTTTTTTCCATCATAAGCAAGGTTTTTGAATCTTTAATTAACAAACACAAATCTCTCATTAACAAATCTCTCATCTTGAATCTAATAAATTACTATCTGATCATCAATATGGATTTCGATCTTCTCGTTCTACGGCTGATTTGCTAACAGTAATAACCGATAGGTTTTATCGTGCATTAGATAAAGGTGAAGAGGATAAGACCATTGCTCTTGACATTTCTAAAGCATTTGATAAAGTTTGGCATGCTGGTCTACTCCATAAGCTTTCTTCTTACGGTTTATCTGGAAACATCTTTAAGATTATTGAATCCTTTTTTTCCAATCGTAGTATAAAAGTTATCCTTGATGGACAGCACTCTTCTTCTTATTCTGTAACCTCAGGGGTTTCTCGAGGTTTAATTCTTGGCCCTATACTCTTTTTAACTTACATAAACGATCTTCCAGATATTCTCACATCTAAGGTGGCATTTTTTGCTGATGGTACTAACATTTATTCTTGTCACGATAAGAAGCCAACTCTCTCTGATTGCTTGGAGAGGATATTTGAGTTTCAAAAGGATCTCACTTCTGCTACAGCATGGGGCTCACAATGGCTGGTAAACTTTATTTCAAATAAAACTCATTTTTTTACAGCCAATTGGTATCGCAATAATTTAGACCTTCCTATATTTATGAACGGTAATGTACTCG